TTGTCTGACACCGTGCTTAGCACTTTATTCTTACAACCTGTAGGGATAGTGAACTGAGGTTCACGGCCACCTGGTAAGTGGTGGGGCAGGCACTTCAGCCCAGACCGTGTGACACTAAACCCCACATTCCTGTCTTCCACACTCCTTTGCCCTTTGACTCATCAGCCGCACCTTCGTGTGGATTCAGATGGGGCATTTTTTTTTTAACTTGAGGTATAATTGACATATAACCTATTAGTTTTAGGTGTACAACATGATGATTTAATATTTGCATACACTATACAATAAGTCTAGTTACCATCTGTCACCATACAAAGGTACATTCCCTTTCTCTCCAAACCCTCCTTATGATGAGAACTTTCAGGATTTACTCTCTTGGCAACGTTCAAGTATGGGCTACAATATTATTGGCTATAGTCACTGTGCTGTACATTACACTCCCATGACTTATTTTGTAATTGGAAGTTTGTACCCTTTGATCCCCTTCACCCATTTCAGCCACTCCTGTACCCCTCTACTCCAGTAACCATCATTCTGTTTTCTGTATCTATGAGGTTTGTTTTTTGTATTCTACATAGAAGTGAAATCATATGGTATTTATCCTTCTCTGACTTATTTTACTTAGCATGATTTCCTCAAGACCCACCCATGCTGTCATAAATTTCTTTTTATGGCTAAGTAGTATGCCATTGTATATTATATTGTGCCACATCTTCTTTATCCATATATCTATTGATGGACACTTAGGTTGTTTCCATGCCTTGGTTATTATAAACAATGCTAATCTAGCGGTGCATATATCTTTTGAATTTGTGTTTGTTTCCTTTGGATACATATCTACTAGTGAAATTGCTGGATCATATGGTAGTTCTATTTTATTTTATTTTTTTGTTAACCCTCACCAGATGATATTTTCCCAGTGCTTTTAATTTTTGTTGTTAATCCTCACCCAAGAATATTTTCCCATTGATTTTTAGAGAGAGTGGAAGGGAGGGGGAGAGACACACAGAGAGAAACATCAATGTGAGAGAGACACATCAATTGGTTGCCTCCTGCATGCACCCTAACTGACCAGGGTTGGGGATCGAGCCTGCAACTGAGGTACGTGCCCTTGACTGAATCAAACCCAAGACCCTTCAGTGTGCAAGCCAATGTTCTAACCACTGAACACATTGGCCAGGGTAATAGCTCTATTTTTAACTTTTTAAGGAACCTCCATACTGTTGTCCACAGTGGCTGCACCAATTTATATTCCCACTAACAGTGCAAGAGGGTTTCTCCAACTGGGATCCCTATGCTATAAGACAGTAGTCTAGTTTCATTCTTTTGCATGTGGCTGTCTAGTTTTCCCAACACTATTTATTAAAGAGACTATCCTTTCCCTCATTGTATATTCTTGCCTTCTTTATCATAAATTAACTATATATGCATAGGTTTATTATTGTGATCTCCATCCTGTTCCATTGATCCATGTGTCTGTTTTGATGCCAATACAATACTGTTTTGATTAAGATAGCTTTGTAATACAGTTTGAAATCAAGGAGTGTGATATTCCTGGCTTTTTTTTTTTTTTTCATTCTCAAGATTGCTTTGGCTATTCAGAGTCTTTAGTGGCTCCATACAAATTTTAGGATTATTTGTCCTATTTTTGTAAAAATGTTATTGGAGCCGAAACTGGTTTGGCTCAGTGGTAGAGCGTCGGTCTGCGGACTGAAAGGTCCCAGGTTCAATTCCGGTAAGGGCATGTATGTTGATTGCTGACACATCCCCGGTGGGGGGTGTACAGGAGGCAGCTGGTCGATGTTTCTCTCTCATCGACGTTTCTAGCTCTCTATCTTTCTCCCTTCCTCTCTGTAAAATATCAATAAAAAATATATTAAAAATGTCATTGGAATTTTGATAGAAAATTCACTGAATCTATGGATTGCTTTGGGTAGTATGGTCATTTTAACAATATTAATTCTTCCAATCAGACATTTTATCTTATTTTTAAAATATTTTAAAATTGATTTCAGAGAGGGAGAGGGAGACAGAGATAGAAACATCAAGGAAGAGAGAGAATCATTTATCAGCTGCCTCCTGCACACCCCCTACTGGGGATCGAGCCCCCAACCTGGGGATGTGCCCTGATTGGGAATCGAACCATGACCTGGTTCATAGGTTGACACTCAATCATTGAGTCACGCTTGCCAGGCGGATGGTGACATTTCAAAGAGGTCTGTGGCCTGAGCCTTCTGAACGGGTGTGCCACTTGGTGGCCAACGGCTTCCTTTTGAGCTGAAGGTCTGCCTTCCACCCTCACCCACTGAGTAATGGTTATTTATTGGCTGACAACAGTCCCACCTGATGACGGCAAAGCAAGTTGGTACACGTTCAGCCACACCAGCTTCAGATGAAGCCTCTGGTAGGAAAAGTTCCCACAGCTGGGAACTTAAGCTGATTAGCTGTGGGGGCTGTTTGAGGGGGAAGTGGAGTGGCCTTGACATTCAGCCTCAATACTTTAGAAGTTTGGCCATTCTATACATTTCTGTCTGCTTTCCCCCTTTGCTTCCCTGAGATTAAAAAAGAAATTACCCAAAAACAAATATGGCAATCAGTCTCAGTTTATGGTCTCAATTCTCATTTAATTGCTACCCATTCTTCTTCATTAAACAGGTCTCTGATCTAGACATGCAGTAATCATCCCGTCACCGTCTTCCCATCAAACCCAGTTCACAACTGTGCCTTACTGTTCCACTAAATCTGGCCCACTTTTAGAAAACCTCTCCATCTCCAGGGGTGCCTGAAGAACACCTACCGTAGAGGGGCATGTTTCAGGAGTAATTGAAATTAATGTTTAGTCAGATATAATGGGAAAACACCTGGAGTGGGAATAGCAAAATGCACGTGCAAGGATTGCTTACCTTTAATTGGTCTTAAGATGTGGGCCGAGTGACTCCACCTCCACGGGTTCAGTATGTGCACCTCTGAGCTGCAGCATCTCCCTCACCGGTGTTCCACGGGTACATTCATCTCCTGACGCCCTGGGTGACAGACCGGAGACATGAATGTCTTAAGTGATCGCTCACCACTCGCCACTCAGGAGCTCACTCTCTTTCAAAGGTCATCTCTAAGCCTGCAGTGGTTGGGAAGTGCTTGTAACAAGATTGTCATTGTAATTATTTCCTTAACCAGACTTCAAAACTCTTTATGAACCCAAACAATAGCTGAACTGATAGGGACAGAACAATTTCACCCCTTGAAATGTGAGTGGCATGTGCTTCCTGGTGGCCCTCAGTAGAGAATTTTCTCTATCCTCCCCCCCTCCCCCCAAACCAGCACAGACAAAAGGCCTCGCTGGTCACTGAGGCCAGTTCAAGAGCCCACCTAGGCTGAGGGTCAGCACAGGCCTGAGGGAGGTAAAGGCTGGTCAGGCCACTGTGGCCAAGAGAAGAGGGCAAGATGGGCCAGGTCACAAAACCAGAGGTCATGTACCAGGGCTTGGGGTGGGCAGCAGGGAGCCAAGAGAACAGGCCTGGTCACAGAATGGGAGGGAAACTGAGACCAGCACCAGAGGCAGTGCAGAGACACTCAGAGGGCTCCAGGAAGCCAAAACACTAGTGACAGGGGTGGTGAGAACAGCAAGTCACAGTAATGCAGTAGGAAGATCTGGGAGAATTGGGGTAGCAGGTGACTTAGGCCTTTGACTAATAACTGAACATGGACTACACACAAAGGGGATCAGAACCACATGTGTATGACTAAATGTATGTATTACACATTTAAATACAGGTATGTGAGAAAAGTGGGCAGAAATGGGCAACAGTTGATGATAATATATGCACTGGAAACAGAACGCAGACACTGACTTGGTCTTAGTGCAGTGCTTGACACATACTAGATGCTCCATAAATGACGGAAATCCTTTTCCTCCACTGCGACCCAGAGAAGGGACCCGTCTGCTTCCTAGAGAATGAATGGCATCATGAACCAGCATGAACCTTGTCTACTTACCTGATGCAAGAGGGACATCTAATTGCTTAGTAAAGCTGTTCCCTTTGTACCCACTGTGCTATTTACCTAGTGTTATTTTTTTTTAACTTCATCAGAAGACATGCTTAGAGAGGGGAAGGAAAGGAGAAGGAGGGAGAGGGAGAAGGAAAAGAGAGAGAGGGAGAGAGAGAGAGAGAGAGAGAGAGAGAGAGAGAGAGAGAGAGAGAGAGAGAGAGAGAGAGAGAGAAAGCGCTTTCCATACATGCCCTGATGGGGGGATGGAACCTACAACCCAGGCATGTGCCCTGACCAGGAATCCAACCAGCAATCTTTTGGTGCACACGGTGGATTCAACCAACTGAGCTGGGCATACCTAGTCTTAATTAATTTCTTTGCATCTACATTTCAAAGGTACCGCCTTATCAGGACTGCACTATCCAGTTCACAGAAATTCTGAATTTGCATGCAACCCCTCTGCTGTCTTGTTTAGTCCCTAACGTGTGCCCAGTCCAGGCTGGCACGCCCCTGGGGCCCTGAAGGAGGATCTTGTCCACGTGGCATGACACTCAGGGGGCTTCTCATGAAGGGCGGTGAGCGGCCAGGGCCACAGGAGTGAGTCCCCAGACACACTCTTCCCCGTGGGGCTGATCTCAACCACGCCTCCTCGCTGCTCCCACGGAAAACCGGGTTCAGGAGGAGCGCCGGGCCACTGCCCCGCGGAGTGTGGCTGAAGCCAGGGCGGCAGCTCACCTGGGAGCCGGGGCGCCAGACCTCCCGTAGGCAGGGCGTCCTTCCCCTGCACGGTGACATCACGGAGCCGCTCCATAAAAGCGGCCGCAGGCAGCCGGAGCGCACAGAGCCCGAGTGCCGCCGAGCCTGCGCTGCGCTGCGCGCACGTGTCCTGGCGCCCCGTGTGGGGTCCTGCGCGCTCCCTGTCCCAGCTCCCTGGTCTCAGCCGGAGACCGGTGGCCGGATCGAGAAGGAGCTGAGCCCAGGGCCGTCCCGTTCGCCCCGCAGGAGCCGCGAAGATGCCCCGCAGCAGCCTGCGCGCCGCGGCCGTCCTCCTGCTCCTGAGCCTAAAGGAGCAGCTCTCCCGCGCAGCCCCGCTCCACGGTAAAGTTTCCGCCTCTTTCCCAACCGTCCTGGGGCACTCAGCCGCCCCAGGGCTGCGGGGTCTCCTGCGGGGCTTTTTGGTGATAAAGTAAAGTCATTGAGGGGGAAGGGGACCCCTGGGGGTGGTGCGGGGAGGGGGAGCAGGGAAGGACATGCCTGGTATCACATTGCACATGGTTAGGAGGGATGCTCCTGTTTCCTTTGGGATGCATCTGTGGCCGGGGAAACGCTCCGTCTTCCCATTGAAGAATGTCTGTGTTCTCCGAGCACCTGCAGCTCCGGAGCGGGTGCTTGGGAACTTGCTCCCTGGGCCCCTGGGAACCGGGATTTAAAATGCTGCGGTCCAGTTCCCGCACCACGGGCATGGTGAGGCTGGGGAAGGGTTTGCAGTGGCTCCAGGGCAGAAGCTTCCCACATCCGAGGAGGGTGCTTCACTCGGGAGGACTCTTCCCCGTGGGTTTTACCTGCAAGTCAAAGGGATGATGCATCCCATCCTTAATGATTGGTTTTCTCCAGGAGGGCTCTCTTATTCTAAGTGTGTGTGTGTGTGTGTGTGTGTGTGTGTGTGTGTGTGTGTGTGGTGTGTCTGTGGTGTGTGTGTGTGTGTGTGTGTGTGTGTGGTGTGTGTGTGTGTGGTGTGTCTGTGGTGTGTGTGTGTATGTGTGTGTGTGTGCGCGCGCACTCAGATGAGCACACACACCTCATTGCTGAGTGTAATTAGGGCCCTTCACCCCGAGGGAGGCTGGAGCTGAGGGTGCGGAGTGAGGCGGCAGGAGGTGGTGGGTGGACCTGCCTGTAGACTCAGGTCTGTGCAATGAATCGCGGGGAGTAGCTAAGGTCAGGTTAGTCAATCCTCAGTAACACGTGAGGAGGGCGCCAAGCTTTGCCTGCCTCCCCAACAGTGGGCGGATGCTGTTCTGAGGGAGTGAATGGTGACTTTTGTGGAAACCCCCACTGGTCACTGATGGTGGCTCCTGCCCTTGACAGTTTGCCTCCAGTTGTGAAGACATGTGTGGGTGCGATAGTCCTGAGCCTGTTAGGCTGAAACATTTACAGAAGGACCCCAAGGGACCACAGTGGCTGACAATGTATACTCCCCGGCTGGGCAGGGGTGGTGGGGAATCGGTCCTGTTCAGCATGTGAAACCAGACGCCCCTTCCTTCTTAGAGGTCATTTTGCCCTCTGCGGGGGGAGGGGGGAGGAGGTGCGCGTAGGGGGTACGGGGCACGGGAGAGTGGGGAGCTGGGCTAGCAGCAGCTTTGCCGTTACTCTGAATTCAATTCCACTCCACTGGCTGGCATGATATACTTAATATTATCACATATACACACCCCCAGGGAGATATAGGTCGGTGAGAGAAAGGCGCTATGTAAAAGTGGAAATGAATTGTTAAAACTGCAAACTTTGACACGTATCCCCTCTGGAGAAAGCTGCACCGGGGAGACCTGAAGTTTCCCTGAAAGTCTCCCTTTTAGTTCCAGGCTGTTCTAAGGCCACAGAGAGAAGCAGCCATTCATTGGCTGGCGCTCCTGAGAGCCTGTTACTCCCCTCACTTGGGGGCAGCTCCTCCGGCTGTCCTCTTCCTGCCCGATTCCCCTCTCCCTCCTCCCCTGCCTTCCTTGCCTTTCTTCCTCCCCCCTCTCCTTTGTCCCCCCTATCTCCCCCCCCCCCCCCCCGCTCCATTCTCCTAATTAGGGTGGTGTAAAAACTCCACTTTCACCCCACACTGCGTAGCCCACCTGCCCACCCCTGGGTTTTAAGAACACAGGTTTTATTTTATTGTTCCTCATGAGATTCTGGGCATCTTAACTGCCTTGGGGACAAGGTCAAAGCGAAAATCACTGAGGTGTAGTGTGTCCGTTTTAACCCAAGGTGGCGGTTGAAGGGGGTTTAAGCTGGGTCTTGGGGTCCAAGTGTGCCCGCCCCCCCTGCCGGGAGCATTTACGTTTCCAGCCGTTGGCCCTGGTGAGTGTGCGAAGAAAACTCGGAGGTTGGGAAGGAGCAAGATAAGGTGAAGTTAGGTGTCTTCAGTGATTTTTGCTTTGACCTTGTCCCCAAGGCAGTTAAGATGCCAGAATCTCATGAGGAATAATAGAATATAAACTGTGTTCTTAAAACCCAGGGGTAGGCAGGTGGGCTACTCAGTGTGGGGTGAAAGTGCAATTTTTACACCACCCTAATTTGGAGAATGTAGAGGGGAGAAGGGGCGACAAAGGAGAGAGAGAGAGAGAGAGAGAGAGAGAGAGAGAGAGAGAGAGAGAGAGAGAGAGAGGAAGAAAGGTTCTCTAGAGAAAACCTTGGGTTCTTAGGTGCTGCAGGGGTGGGAATGGGGAGGGGGGATATTGCAGTGAATTCTGTAGCACCCACTCTGTCTGAACCTGGTGTGGCGAGCTGGGCAGTCTCAAGAACTATTGGAAGGTTCTAGTACCCAGGACAGGAAGCGGGCAAAGCCCAGAACCCCTGACCTGGATCTTTGTAAATATCACTTCCTCGGAGAGCACCCAGGGCATTCTTCGGCCTCGGACACACTGGGCGGCAGGTTCCAACAGGCACACGCTGGGCCTCCGGGGGCTGGCCTTCTTGGGAAGGAACAGTTCCCCTCCCAGAAGGGCCGCGAAGGGGCAGTGGCAGCAGCCTTGGCCTGACCTGTCTTGCAGGGCCAGTTTAGTCCTGCTACCTAAGGCGCCCGTCCCTAAAGCTAAAGGAGGGAGTCAGGAGGCGCCATGTCTGCAAAAAGCACACAGACACACACGTCCTTATGAAGTCTGCCTGAGGCCATTTCTGTGCTGACGGTGAATCAGGCTGAGTCCTGACCTTCACGGGTGAATCCCCCCCCCCCCCAACTCAGATCACCTCGCTTTCATGTTAGGCGATTAAACCCCAGCCTCCTGCTCCCAAGCCCCTTCAGATGCTGCCATTTGCACTCAAAGCCCTGAGTGCTGAGGACCAACCAGGCAGGGGCAGAGAGGAGGGCAGTGACGGGTGCTCTGGATGCAGCTGCTTTTCAAGGCCAGCCAGGGCTGCCGGGCCTCAGGTGGTCCTGTGGCAGCCCTGGATGTCCGCCCTGCATCCTCCGTCCCTGAGCACCCACAGCATCATGCCAATGCCCCATCTGAGCATGAGCCGCAATCACAGGAGAAATCAGCTGAGGGAGCTTTCGGGAGCAGAGCAGAAGACGCAGGATATTGGGGGTACGATTCAATTTGGGGGAAAGTGCAGCTAAAACTTCCGGCCAGAGCAGGCCTGCTCCGAGGCAGCAGCTGGTGGCCTCCAGGATCACTGGGCAGCAGGAGGGGAACTCCCGTGACCTGTCAGCCGACATCCCGGGTCCCTGAGAGCGTGCTCTGCCGAGGGTCATGGGTTGGATTCTGGGTCAAGGGCATGTACCTGGGTTGTGGGTTCCATCCACGCCCAAGTTAGTGTGCATGTGGGAGACGACAAACCGACGTGTCTCTATATTGATGTGCTTCTCTGTGTGAAGTCCGTGGCTGTGTTTTAACAGTGACCCCAAAACAAGACGCTGAAGGCAAATGTTTGGGGAGAAGGTTTGATGTCTTCTGGAGTGTAGTTCGAAGGCAGTGCTTCCTTTGGCCCTTTTCACTATTTCAGTGAAGAGCTGGTGTGCACTTGGGGTCCGGGTAAAAGTCCTGTTCGCCTGTGGTTCTGACGGTCCTCACCCATTGCTAACCCAGGAAGGGGAACCCTAGCACTGCTGATGCCTGTGGAGGCCACGGTAGGCTCCAGGGTTCCATGGACCTCCTGAAATTAATTGTACCTGAAGTTGTGTGTCTGAGCTTAGGTATTTTTATGAGGAAAAGGTCCATAGTTTACACCAGCTGCTTGGATTGATCTGGTCTCCCCTCAGCCCCTAAAGATGGAAAAGAAGAATCAAAGATTCCTTTAAGTTTGTGGGAATCTAGGGTAGGACATCAGTAAAGACCTAAGCATAAACAGATCACGAAAGAGCAATAGAGGGGCATGTCTTACAGCGATGTGGAGATAATGCCAAAGAATTAACTGAAGAGTATTCAAAGGGGGTGCTGTAAGGAGCAGGAAAAGGTAGGGGTGTCAGGGGGACAGGGTGTTATTTTATTTTATTTTTTTAAAGCCTTGCTAGAACCACCTGACTCTCTAAACCACGTACAAGTGTATTTTGATGAGATTACCAATTAATATTGAGAATTAAAACAATTAAAAGCACTGAAGCACAGAAATGAAACAGAACAGCAGCAAAAATATGAGCTCAAACCAGCTTTAAAAATAAAAGCAAAGTCCTCTTTTAGCTTCTAAAATCCACCATTGGCTTGAGCAGGAGATGCCTAGTTGTGATAAGTGACCAGTTAAGTTTGACTCAAATCAGTAACCGAGACAGAAAGGGGGTGGGAGAGCGTTCCTCTTCCCTCTGTCCCCGGTGGCCGCTGAGAGCACGGGACCGGGGGGGGGGGGGGGGGGGGGAGAGGGGGGAGCTAGGAGACAGGGACTTAGGCGCTGGGCTGTCCCCTCACTGGGATGTGTCCCTGAGACACACCCCGCGTTTTAATTCAGGGTCTTGGTCTCCTTCGGGCGGTGAAGAGGGAGGTACCAGGCAGGGTGACGACAGCACAGGTCTGCAACAGCTTTTCAAACCGCGTGTTTTGATGTAGGAATGAAGGGCTTGGATGTGTGTGGGGAGTGAAAGGTGGCGGGTGACTCCTGGCAGAATTTTTCCTACACATTCCTCCCACCCCTGGGATCTAACCCGTGTGAGGGAGGCAGCTTCCTTTGGAGAGCAGTGTTTTCCTCTTTATGTAGCGGTGTGAACTGTTCTCCAGGATATGTTGTTAGGTAGGGGGAAAGCAAGATGCAAAACAGTGTTTCCAACATGCCAGCCTTTGTGTGAAAAAAAGGGGAGCCCTTGCCAGAGTGCTCAGTGGTTAGAGTGCCAGCCTGTGCACCGAAGGGTCATGGGTTGGATTCTGGGTCAAGGGCATGTACCTGGGTTGTGGGTTCCATCCACGGCCCAAGTTAGGGTGCATGTGGGAGACAACAAACCGACGTGTCTCTATATTGATGTTTCTCTCTCTCTCTCTCTCTCCTTTCCTTCTCCCGTCCCTCCCTCCCTCTTCCTTCCTCTTTGCCTCCCTTCTACTAATTTTAGCAATCAATGGGGAAAATATCCTCGGGTGAGGATTAACAAAAAAAAAGGGAGGGGGGCAGAAAGAATACAATACCTGAGTGTGTGCAGTCCTACCATAAAAGATTTCATCAACTGATGAAACCAGCCACCTCCCATGGAAACAGAGAGATCTGGCAGGAGAAAGAGCTTTTGCTGTAGACCTGTCAACAGCTGTTGGGTTCTGAGCCTTGTGAACGTATTTCCCGTTCAGCTAATAAAATGTGGCTTCTCTAAGGTGTCTGGGGAGGCTTTTACTGAAGAAGTGTTGGGCATCACCCACGTTTCTGTCTCACCCATTTCAAAATGAAATCTGTGTTTTTTTCTAACTTGTTCAAGCACAGTTGTACTTAATGTGCTTTGTTTTGTTTTTTACAGGGTTCGAATGGACCTATCTTGGTAAGTGGAGATCTTACATATATATATATATATATGTTTTTTAGGAGATGGCTGTGTTTAATGAGAAAGCCAGAATTGTCACGATCTCTGGAGATTTTTTCTTTTTTTTGGGGGGGGTGGGGGTGGGTTGGGGTGGTAGAGAGCAGCTCTGATATTATTTAAAAGGCACAAAGGGCCGAAACCGGTTTGGCTCAGTGGATAGAGCGTCGGCCTGCAGTCTGAAGGGTCTCGGATTTGATTCCAGTCAAGGGCATGTATGTTGGTTGTGGGCACATCCCCAGTGAGGGGTGTGCAAGAGGCAGCTAGCTGATGGATGTTTCTCTCTCATCGATGTTTCTAACTCTCTCTCCCTCTCCCTTCCTCTTTGTAAAAAAAAAAAAAATCAATAAAATATATATATTTTTTAAAAAAGCACAAAGCCCTCTCTGAGGAATCGCTCCACCAGGGTTGCATGCTACACTTGCTCCTAGCAGACGAACAAGCTCTGTGCCCTTGAACTTTGAGTCAGTGTTAAGGCTTCCAGGTTCCTGCAGGGATTTCTACCAGACCTCCCAGGGGAGGAGGCCCAGGGTGCTTGCACTCTGCAAGGGCCCGGGCAGGAGAGAGCCCGGGACATTTACGTACAACAAAGAAAGGGCCCTTTTCTGAAAGTCTGGCTCAGGCCCCAAGACGTAAGCTGTCAGCAGGTCTAGAATTAACTTCTTCTTGCCCTGTCTGTAAACAAGCAATAGGCGAAGTGGAGGTGTCCCATCCTTCGTAAAAAGAGATGCTTGTCTCACACGGGGAGAGAGGGGCACCCGTCATGCGATGCGGTTTCTGTGAGGTTGGGTCCAGAACGACGCTGGCCGCTTCCGGCAGGCTTGCAAGATGCGCGCCTTGAAACCAGCATGGCTGGTATGTTTCACTGAATTGGGGACTCAAGTCATCAGCTGGAGTGGGGATGGGAGGCCATGTACCTGGGTCCCCTGGCAAGTGCCAAATGTGAATACAGTCCTCCCCTTATCTGCAGTTTCGCTTTCTGTGGTTTCAGTTACCCAAGGTCAACCACATGGTCTGAGAATATTACATGGAAAATTCCAGAAATAAGCAATTCATCGGTTTCATGTTATGCGCCGTTCTGAGTAGAGTGATGAAACTGCGAGCCGTCCCACTCCGTCTTGCCCAGGACGTGAATCGTCGCTTTTGTTCTGCACATCCATGCTGCCCATGCTCCCCGCCTGCTAGTCACTTAGGAGCCGCCGTGGTTCTGGGGGTGACGAGGGGAAGGTCCCCCCACGTACACACAGCCTGTAATATGGCACATTATACTTGTTCCATTTTATTATTTTTGATGTTTATTTCTTACTGTGCCTAATTTATAAATTAAACTGTGTCCTAGGTATGCATGTACTTATAAAAACACAGTATATGTAAGGTTCGGTATTATGTGTAGGTTCAGGCATCTACTGGGGGTCTTGGAATGTATCCTCAAGGATAGGGAGAATTACTATTATGTCGTGTTAAGGACAGAGTCGCAGGGATTTGCAGCATAGCTTGTACGGTAAGCGGGAGGGTGGAACTGGCCTCGTGGGCACAGGAGGGTGGTGACAAGCAGGGAAGCTGATTCCTGCAGTGAAAGCAGAGCCCAGAGGAAGACCTGGCTGAAATCTGTAAAAAAAGCCTTTGTGAGCCCAGGAGGCATAGGAAAGTCATCAACCTAATTGGCCAGCTACCTACAGGCCAAGGTTTCTGTGGCTCTGGCACTGATGCCTCCAGCTTTACTAACATCCCTTAGGTAGTTATTATGAGCAAAGCGCCAGTTGCTAAGTGGGTGGGTAACTAGAAGGGGAGGCTGTGATCTGAGGCTGGGAATTACTTCAGGCTCACAATTCAAAGCAGAATATAATAGGCGGTAATAAGAGATAATAAATGGTTCAGTGCTCTGATGGTTCAGAGAAGGATGAGAATGCTAGGGCTGCGTGGTCAAGGAAGGCTTGCTGGAGGAGGAGGCTTTCACCCGGGCCTTGGGGGATTGGAGGATTCGGTGTGATGGGGCAGAGGTGCTGTGGGCCGAGACCACGGTGGCATCACGTGAGTGGAGGCAAGAAAGGAGAAAGTGGTATTTGAGGGAAATCATGTAGAGAAGAAGTTACAAGGGAGTGATGGGTTCTGAGTTCAAAAAGAGAGGTTGAGACAAACAGGGGAGGCATGGGAGGGCAGGGAAGGCCCTTCTGACTCTGTCCCATCGATGGAGGGGAGGGCAGGGAGTGATCTGCGTTTTAAGGAGAGTAATAGGGTGGTGATGGGGGTGGGGGGGGGAGGATGAGAAGGAAGGATAAGCAGGAAGCAGGAAGGAGTTTGGCCTTTGTAGAAGACATCCCATCCTGTGTCTTAACACCCAGTTAATGGTGAACGCCGTGAGAGACAAAGAAAGAGCAGGGCAAGAGGCCCCACAGAGGAAGATTGGACAGGTCAGGGCCTCAGGGCCTCGGGGCTCCATGGGCAAGTTCAATGTGTGGGACGTGACAAGAGCAGTGCAGGCAGGTCAAGACAGCGGGACCCAGGTCCTGGGCCTTATTCCATGTGATCGTTAGTAAGCCTCTTGAGCCCTCTGGGTCCCGCTTTCTCCACCTCTGTAACCTGTGACGGTGCTGCTGTCTAGATCATTGAACTTCCAACTCTGGCTCAGGGTCACCCCCATCAGAGCCACCTGGAATGCTTTCCTGCGATGCAGATTGCCGGGACTTAGCCTGGACCTGGGGAAGGGAGGAACCTCAAAAGCTCGTCTATTTCATGCACTTCCCAAGGGAGAGAACCACGGACCAGATGGGGAGGCTTGCCCTATCTCTTATACTAGCCTCTCAGGTTATAGTGGAAACACAGTTCCAGCCTCTCCAGGGCTCCCTGCCTCTGTGTGACAGCTCCCTTCCCCCCAGGGCAGAGTGCGATAGTTCCAGAGAACAGGGTTGAGAAGGTGTGGGAGGGAAATCTTTCTGCCCCTTAGTCATGACATGGTGTTCCCCGAAGGAAGCTTCTCTGTCCAGCCACGTCAACCAGTTCAGAAGCATTTTTCCCTGACCACCAGCTCTGGCCGGCCCTCTGTCCCTCTGTTCCGCACAGTTAGAGCAGCTATTTGCTGAGGAAGCAGAGGGTAGAGTCTAATGGTGCATGCCATGGTGGGGGGGGGGGGAGGGGACAGTGAGCATAAAGGCAAATCTGGCTTTCCATTAGTGAAATGAGCACGTGATGTGGAGTGAGCTATCAGTGGGGGCCAGTGAAGGAAGACGGGATAGAGGACAACTGAGGAGGCAAACAGGTCCCGGCCGGCAGCTGGCACCGGGCCTCAGAGTCGCCCAGGTAAACAGAGGACCTGGCACGGGTGCTGGGGAAGAATGGTCTCCAATTGCCCTGAATGGGGCAATTGCAACCAAATACCACATGGCTTGCCCAGGGCACAGACTCAGCTATTTTGCACGTAGATGCTGCTGAATCATCCTGATCGGGGACCTCCCACTGCCTGGGACACGTGGCAGGACTTCTAGAAACACGTGGAAAGAGAACTCTGCCCCCATTCCTCTCCACATTGAGTCACCAGGCTGACCTCTCAGATGCCTCCCTGGACATAGGAGAGCCATCTGGTAGCCAAGATGGGGCCAATCGTCCCCCATGCATTCTGCTCGGGTGGCTGAAGCAGCAGCTGGACATGTGCTGGGTTGAGAACTGCTAGAGGGGCCCCTTCCCACTGGAAAACAGTCCCAGGTCAACCCAGCTGGGCCTCAGCAGCTTCACCGACTCCGACCTGGAGGGCAGCTGCAGGCCAGGCTGTCATGTGAGCTGAGGATAGACTCCGGCTGCTGAAGCGAGTCCATGCCGGTCAAGTCAGGTGAAGGAAGGAGGCGCCAGGAGGGGAGCTGCTCAAGTTCAGGTGGTGAACATTCATCTTGCTGTTCGCTATGATACAGGCCCTTTTCTGTGTGTACATTGTAGCCAAGAGAAGAGTTAAACCATTCCAGCTGGCCCGGACAGTCAGCCTCCCCCTGACAGTTTTTTTAGCCCTCCCCAAGAAAACCCCAAAAATTCCTCAAAACAGCAGAGCAACCAAAGAGAATGACTCTGGTGGAACGAACAACCCAAGAACGCGTCATGTGAGCAGAGAATGGGAGCCATGCTCCATCCCGGGCCAGCCACATGCTGTTTGGCTGGAATTGCCCCCTTCGGGGCGGCCCTTCTGCTTGGAAACCGTCCTTCCCCGGCACCTGTGCCAGGTCCTCTATTCACCTGGGCGCTGCTCTGGTGCTCCTCGGGTTGGGGCTCGCTCAAAAGTCAACACCCACACAGTCTGCTAGAGATTTTGGAGAAATAAGATCCTTAAGCCTTCTGAGGAGGAGGAATGAAAAGGGAACATGGAAGCCAAGTCCACCTCCTGGAGGTTGAGTCCCACTTTTCCCTGACCAGGGCCCTGCGCCTGTGGGAGCTCTGGGATGACGTGGCCGGGCTGGGGGTCTGGACGGCAGGCTGCAGCCACCCCAGGCTCCGGTCCTTCTTCTCTGCAGAGGCTGGGCAGCCCTCAGCTCTGGGAGCACCCACGTGATCTATGACCCGGGAATGCCACAGCCTTCCTCATGTGCTCTCCTTCCTCCCGGACTGTAGACCCTCTGTCTTAGAGAATTGTCTTTGGGAACACAGAAGGGGTCCTCCATGGGGCAAACGCTGCTTCTCCAGACTCCCACCTTCCACCTCCCCCACCTTCTGGCCTGAATCTGCTGGAATATAGAATTGCTATCCATGGCCTTTCCCTGGGACTTGGGACATTCCCCCTGCAACTTGCCTGAACTCTGAGAAGTGACAGGGAACGCACGGAAGGGGGCTAGGAGGAAAACCCCTTTACCTTCTATTCTTTAGGTGATAAAGGTGCCACGTGGCCTCACAGGCAAAGGGAGTGTGAAAAGCAGGCGAAGTTAGACCTCACGGGTGAACGCCATGGGCAGACAGGGAGCGCGTGCGATTAAAAGACTAGTTGA